CAAATGCCAGTGAGCTATACTTGTAACATTGTTGTGCTTTTCCTTATACTTTCGATTCGCGAGTGTTTTACAGGCAGAAGCTTTATGGGTCACGGCTTCCTTCATTTACGAATACTCAGTTGTCAATAGATTCTTGGATTAGTAGTATTTATTTGTAATAATGTTATTAGACTGCATTTCAGTAACGTAATAAAAGTAGTAAAATAATCGTTTTAGGAATAAAATAAAAATTCCCAGGACAGAGGCCCCGCAGTGTGCTTTTTTTATTCCCGTGGAAGTGACAGTGGTCGCTAGTGAATGCGAAAAAGTTGGAGGTTAGTCCATCGATCTTTAGAGCTAAACTATTCAAGTAATTAATTTAATTTTAGTAGCTGCGTTGATGCGAGGCAAAGACAATCCGAGGCGAGAGGTGGTTCTCAAATCTGGCATCGAACAAATGCGCGATGCCGTCAATGAAATCGAAGTTTGGCTGGACAAGCTCATCAAATACGTTGATAAAGTGATTGTAAGTTTTTTTTGAAATAGATTTGATGCATTTTTGTGCACAAAGCAAATTTAGTCCAATAATCGGCCGAAAGACGAAGCTGTTGGCCGCACCCTTCTGAACCTAATTGCTGAAGTTGGACATCTAAATATGAAGCAGCTCGAATCCTTGATCAGTGCTGGAATGAAGGTGCGAACATTGATTACCACATGCCATTATATAATAATTTTTTCCCAGGATTTCCTAATGATGTCATACTTGGCCGAACTGACCAAAACTCAACTTTTGCTTCACGAGAAACTGCTGTCATTTTAATCTGTTTGTACGTAAGTTGTCTCGCCATTTCATTTCTTTCATGTCATTAAACTAGATTTCTGAATCGAACTGACTACTACGGATCAAAATAGTCATCGTTAGCGCAATTCCAGTGATGACTGCCTTAACCACCCGAAAACTTTTCAACTTTTGGCATTAATAATCAGCATGAGATTTCAATATAGTAGCTTTTTTGAGAATCACTCATAAATTCATAATGTATTTGCATATTTTATTTTTTAACGCAGGTTGGGGTAATGCTCTAAAGTCAATACGCTAATTTTTAGCGAACCACAGGGTAACTCCTCCCACTGTAGCGAATCACAAGCAGCGACATCAAATCGGTCAATGGACTTAACGTCATCATTTTCGGCTGCTGCGGCTTTCGTCCAATCGGCATTTTCAGTCAGCGTCATATCAGATCAGGTGGTTCAAGGGGCGATTTAGAGCCAATGTCAGGCGTTATAACCGTGTATCTCGCCAATTCTTGTATGATCATGCTGTCCTTGTCGACAATTCAGCTACTTGCTAATCGTTTCCCAGCTAGTTGAAACATGGAGTTAATTCCTTGATCAGGATAATTCACGGTTAAGACAGAGGCGGTCTCTTCGCCGGAATCGAACCCATGACCTCTGGTTTGAAGCTAACATGTTTTTCACTCTGCCACCGCGCTCATTGCAGGTGTCTAGTGCAGACCAATAATCCTTCCTGTACTTATCCCTAGTCACAAGTCATGGATAATGACCAAATTCGACCATTTTCGACCAGTCGCTGAAAGTAACTACGACGACAATCTCAGATTGCATGCATCTGGATAGTCTGTACCTGAACTGCCTGGGAAATCTTTCAAATCGATAGGATTGTTCATGATCTGAAGGTTGCAACTGTGTTAGCTTTGGCTTATCGAGTAATCGCATTACAAACGACGAACGACGACACCGCGCCGATATTATTTGTTCGACCGACAGGCAGAGGTCCTAAAACCCAAGCATTATATTATGCAAATACGCAGATGAATATTGCCTAAGACTCGGTATACCACCTGTTTACACTTTGTCACAAGGTTTGACATTCTTACCCTTACGAATTGAAACGACAAGCGGAATTTAATAAATCCTTACTGGTTATAGTTTTATCTGCGAAATTTGAATCGATCAGTCCTGAGAAGAAATCGCTTGCGTCTTTAAGAGGGTTACCGTACATTTCATCGTCCACGGCCGCTTCTCCTTTGAAGTTGCAGAGGCAAACATGCCAGACAGCGCTCCCGATCCTGAGCCAGGGTCTGAGCTTCAACAGAAGACAACTGGATTCCTTCCATATATTTGCACCTCGTTAATCGTGGCCGTCCCTTGGGCCTTCTGCCGGTTGGTTGGGAGGAAGGAAACAGTTGCCTAGCCTTCCTTTCTGGAGGCATTGTAGCACGTCTGGGTTGTCAAATTTTTGATCTCGAAGTACGTTAGGAGTTTGCGGAATCCGGATCAAAGAACAGAAATTTTCCCACGGACAATATTTGTTTAATATTTGATATTATCTGTTATGCTATACACCGCGGTAGTCAGTTCCGTCATAGATAAACCGGTAGCCCATTGTGAAAAATGAAATTCTGAGCGCTATAGCTGTCATGCAACCGTAGTCATTATTTTTAAACTTAAAAGCTGCTGCGGATGGCAAAAAGTAAAGGTAAGCGCATCACTATAAATTCCAGAGAGGCGCAAGTCGTGCTAATGATGAAAATATATGAGAGGAACATTCGAGCGGCTACTAACTTACATTTTATATCGTTTCTGTTAGTTTTAGATAGCAAGTTACGTGGTATGTGTATAGTAAATAAATTGTATGTCATAATACTGTAATAAAATTAAGGTTATAGCAATGTATGCGGAAAGTTTGTCCTTCCCCTCATTGATTTCGAAGACGGACTGGTTGCACGTCAGTTGAAGCATCGGTCTATAACTAGAGCAGTTCAAATGAAATGACTTTTACGCATTAAGTAGGCATTAATTGATTGTCGACTATTAATTTTCTACGTTTTTTGATTGTTCGCCAACTGATATAATCTATTTTTTAATTGCGGAAGCCGTATTCTGCTGATTGACATCACCTAACATAGAGGCCAAGGAGCACTGCAGTTGTAACGTTTTGGCATTAGACTGCAGGAATTTGACCATGCCGCGAAGGTGTTTGACTCAAGCTGGTAGGTAATATCGAATTTTTCCTGCCACGAACATCATGGTTGAAGATAGGGATGTCACATAAATTACCAGTGAATGCGGATTGTTGTTTGTACAACCTTTCATAAGTGTTAACTACAAAATACGCTTTCAGAAGATAAAGATTACGTCTAAGTTAACGTCTACTGTATGATGAACATGTCATAAAACAAGACGATGCCAAGCATTCGAATACTTATGACCTGCTATCTGATTGAAGGCTGACTGCATTGAAGCATAGCGGAGAGAATAGTTTATTCAAAGAAAATGGATACAACTAGTATTGCTATCAGGTCTTTCCTTATACTACTATCCACCATTATTAGCAGGCATTTACAGATATTACCCACAGTTTCGTTCTACTTGCACAGTTCCCCTGTAGCGTAGCCTGATTTCAACAGGCTGCACTGTTGCGAAATCAAAAGTCATCAGTCTACGTACTCGATCCATGACCCTGATGATAACAACTGTTGCGAGACCTGAATAATTAATTTTCGTTCACTGAACAATTATATGGGTTACACACCTCTGGTGTAGCAAGGTCAAAGCTGGACGAAATTCAGGGAAAGTCTTTACTTTTCCTGATATGGCCGATGACCGCTCCGCCTGAGTTTGGCCATATCCGACTCAACATATTGAAAAAGTGCATTATACACATGTGCGAACACTACAGTGTTCAGTTGCCATGAAGCGGCAGTACACAGTTACCCAGGCAAATTGTAGCAAGGCACCTAAACGCCATTCTGTGAAACCTGATCGAATTAACAGTTTACTGCACGAATTAATGCTTTTTATATGCACGGTAGTAAATCTGTTTTATCGTCGGATTTGTCTATAACTAAGAAACGGGACAAAAAGAATTACCAGCTTTTGCAAAATCATGTGGCAAATAAGACCTTGTTCACTGGAACGCATCTAACGCTGCAAGTGCTTAAATACCGTACACACTTGGTTTCCTTGACTTGGTCACTTTGAGCGTTTTTAAGAAGTAGAACGTCTCATATTTGTGATGTCCATTGCCTTCAGAGCTTTAGAACGTTTCAGTGAGGTACCGGTTACTACATCATAAGAGGAACAATTCATCTCCAAATGTATCTGTCTCAACCTTGTTCTTCCAGGTTGTATGAAGGCCGATTGTTGCCGTGCTTAAGCTCAAACGCGTGAAGCTTGTGGTCTTTTTAATGGCCCCTATAAGCAAGAAGGAAGTCAAAAATGCCATCACATCTTGCCATAGAGGAATACTGATCCATACATTTCTGATCACGCAGTCCCCAAAACCCATGCATCTTGTTTATCACCTTCAGACAAAATGTCAGCTAATGAAAGCATTACAAGAAATACACCATTCATTATATAAGTCATCGTATAAGTTACTGATTTATCCGTTACGTTTTTTTCCGTAGAGAAGGGTACCTGTAAACATAACGTTTTTTAAACGCATTTGCGCCGCAAGCTATGAACAGAAAAAAGTCACTTTTATTAGTCAAATCAAAAGTTGTTTAAAGATCATCAGCTTTCAAGCTTGTTACTTCAACTTTTCGATAAACGGCATGAAAAGAAATAATTTTATACAACGCGTATCATTATACACAACTCGAAACATCAACAGGGAAAATATAAATTAATCATTTACCACCAGATGATGTTACGCGTGTTCTGCCATAATGAAACGCATGGTAATAAATTTGGGCATTTCATCAGACTCATTACGTAGCTGAAATATTGACTGAGAACAAAATTATGAAGATTTTAAATGCTTAATTAATAAAGTTATAAACAAAAATTATGCCGGACAGTGAGGTAGTAATAAATCACCTGCTGACGACAGCAGAAAACAATTTTGGCATTTGTGGATGCCTAAACCCTTTACATGGCTTTCAAACAATTTTTATTTTCCATATATTCAACATACTGTCTAAACCGCAACCCAAAACTCAAAAAAACGTTTCGTTTCTTTAGTTATATTTTGCTTCATGACTGATAATTAAGCCAAGATCTTCTGCAGTTCACCAGACTGGTGTAGCTTTAGAGCATCGTCGTAGCCGCCGATAAATTTT